GGCGCGCCCCGGTCCCGGCGGGCGGGCCCGTGCGGGAGCCCCTCCGCGCTGCCCGGCCCGCCACAGGCTCCCAGGAATCAACCACAGATTTTCCCGTCTTAGTCTCTGTTTTAATTATTTCCCTTCACATATAAAGATATTTGCCTCATATAAATATTTATTGCTTTATTTTTGTAATTATTTACATTTATTTTATTATTCTTTATTTACTTTATTACCCTTCATTTATTTATTATTTATTATTTATTATTTATTTATTATTTATTATTTATTATTTATTATTTATTATTTGTTATTTATTATTTATTATTATTATTTATCACTTTTATTTTTTACTATTATTTTTATATATTTATTGCCCTGTCACACCGCTCACCTCCATCCCACCGGGCGTTTCTGAGCGCACTGATCTATGAGCGCAACTCATTTCCTGAGCTGCTCTTCCTACGTTCCGGATAGACGTGGTTTGACAGCAGAATTCCCCTGCTGTCTCCTCTTGCTCGCGCCGGAGTCGGTGGAAATACCAGCTAGCGGTCGCCGGCCGGTACTGAAGCAGCTGTTTAATCAGCACAATAAATCAAAAGGCTGACCAAGAAAAACTAATGAGGGTGGATGCGCAGGAGATCGGCAGCATTAAGGCTCAAAGCTGTTTTCATTTCTGCCCTAGACTCATAGGTAATTCAAGCAAAGATTGTTGATCTCTGTTCCTTACAGCTTGCAGTCTGATCACAGAAGTAACACATTGTTTTAGTCAGTTAATATTTTGAAAGGTTAAAAGAAACAAATTCCTTTGCCGTTTCTCTTTAAATAAAGGAGGACACTGTCAAAAAGACAGGTCAGATTTAGCAGGGCCCATCCCAAAGTGTRGATTTGTCCCCTTCCCCTTTGGAAGCGCCACTTCCCAGAGCCGTGCGGGCCTGAGGACAGGCAAGACCAGCTGTTGGGAATCCGGATTGAGCAGTAACCAGGTACCCGACCTGGATATTACTGCCGGTGTCAACTTGCCATTTGAAAAACTGCTTTTCAATAGGTCCTGGGAGCTGGTGTGATTTCAAAGGCAATTCCAGGTCAGTGACATTCATATTCTATTCACACAGGCCCCTTGTGCTCTCTTATTTATTTATTTATTTATTTATTTATTTATTTATTTATTTATTTATTTATTTATTGCCTTTTGCTCCTGATGGTGCAGCAGCCCAAGGGCGAGATCCAAGTGCTAATTTTTAGCCCAAGAAAACTAGTTATGATTTTCATTTTTGTTCTAAAAGGATGGTAATTTTGTTGTGGTGGTTGTCGTTAATAATGGAAAAAGAAAGCAGAAACTAAGGAAACATAAAACATTATAAAATAAAGAGAATGTTTCTATTTGCTATTGTTCTTAATTGCTATTTGTTTCTAATTGTTGTTTGTTTCTAATTGTTATTTGTTTCTATTTTTTTTGTCCTTTTCTTACAGCAAGCATTAAGAATGATATTTATACTGCCATAAAAGGAAAGTTTTTTTAGATGGGAAGGGGTTCACCCAGCTGCTGAAAAATTCCTCATGCCCACTGTGAGGAAATACACATGAACTTGCACACTTCTTAAGCAACCTCCAAAATATTAAAGCAAATGCTCTTTTTTGCTTTTTTCCCCCAGCGCTGGGGTTGCTTTCCCCATGCCTCACTTGCACTCAGCCTCACCTTGCATTTGCAGCCAGCCTCAGACTGCAGGATGCCGTGGGTAATATCTTTACTTCTAGTTGCTTCTAGCTTCCTTCATAATCCTGTTGGCCAAAGGAAAACGTTTAATATTCTTTTCTCRCTATGAGAGCTGTTAATATGTCCCAAAGTCTCATATGTGGAAAAACTACTCCACTCCTTAATATACCTGCTCTTGCAATATAAAAGAGTTAAAATTTAACACATATACCTGAGTTTGATCATAACATCCTCCCCTTAAAAGTCAGTATTTATGCATGTAGTTTATTTCTTTTCTGTTGTTGCCACAGCTGTATCAACGTATGGGTTGCAACAATTCATTTTCTTAATGCCAAGGCCAGCTCTGCAGGTTTTACCGGTCTAATTAATCCCACTGGGAGAGAGGAAGGTCATGTAAAAATAAAAGGCAAAATAGGGTAGGAGGGTGGATGTAACTTTGCCATTATAAAGATGATGCAGCAGAATGACAATTTTTCTTGCTATATGGGAAGAGCTACCCCAGTATAAAGCACCTTTATACAAATAGAACTATAGACGTAATGAGAAATACGGTTAGCAGGAGAATGGTGATACCTTTGCTCTGTCGTGATAATTAAAACGGTACATAGTTGAGACAAACAGACAGACAAGACCCAAATAACCTGTGGCAGTTCTAAATGACTTCATTTTTCCCCCGGTATTCTGCAGAGCAGCACGTCTGYCATGTGAGGAAAACAAACTTGCCACGGGTGCCCCCGAATGGTGGGCCTGTCCTTTCAGCAGGGCCTGCTGCCCTCCTGCCACACTGACCCACCTCACACTGACTCCACACGCTTCCTTCTATCCCTTCTCCAGGCCACTGCCCCCCAAATTAGGATACAGAGTTGCTGATCTTACCTCCCCCATTCTTTAAATATACATCCCTGAAGAGAACCCCGAGCACACCCCCATTCTCCTGTTCTCCTGAGCACCTCCATGCCCCACTGCAGGGCCTGCTTCATTCCGCCCATGGTGTTTTCTCTGGAAAAGTGTTTCTCCGTGCAGTGTTGGAAGTGCGGGAGCCCCTTGCAGTGGAGCAGGCACCTTGCAGCCAGGAGCCGAGCCCCAAACTCTCCTCAAGGTTTAGGGTGCGCTACCACACCACGTACCCACAGTGGGACCCACTGGAGGTCACGTTGGAGGAGCAAAGGAAGAGCCCACGGGCCGCCTGCTGCTCTGCAGCCAGCGGTGAGCGACCTGCTGTGAAAACCTCTTTGAAGGCACCACCTTCCAAGCGGCTGYGAAGGCCTCCTCCCACTACGTGGAAGCCAGATTATTGCTGAATTTATCTGATTCACTCCCAGGGAGAAATAAAATACACGTTTTACTCACTAAAAATTCCATCTGGTCTCTGAGATATATAAGTAGGGAAGGTTTCCACCTTCCACTGGTGTCGCTCGCAGTCCCCATCCAGCCACTTATCAATTCATCTATTCCAAGAAGCAGAAAGATTTCCTTTGCATGGACAAAAAGTCGCCCTGTGGCCTCTTGTAACTGGTCTTGTGCCTATTCTGGCAACTGAAGTGGCACATTTTTTTAAGGCTGCAGCAGCCTAAAAAGTATTTATCAGACCGTCTTTTCTATTCAGGCATTCAGGGCAGTCTTTCTACAGAGAAACTGTGTGATAGGAACGGGAAATATGAATTTGCAGGTTAGGAAAATCAGCAAATGGAATGCCATTCTTTCAAGAAAAAACATGATGCTTCTTTTTTGCAGCTGTGCACACGGTCTTAATCCACCCTGCATTTATCAGGTTCAAAAGCAGTATTATCCGATTTGCTGAGGAGAGAAAAAGTGTCACCAGTCTGGGCTTAGCTATCCTTCCGACACCTCTGGGTCAAGTCTGATACCTCCTTCCTTTTTTTTTTTTTTCTTTTTTCTCCTCTCCTGCAGAGCAGGCGCCTCCTCCTCTTCCCTTTGGCTGAATTTCTCAAAGCTGTTCTGTTGCAAATGATTGTGGTTACACAAGGGACTCAATCACCTTTTGAAAGCACCAAGTTACTTCAAGATRAAAGCTTTACAGAGTAATATTATTGCAGAAAATATTTGAGGGGAAAATGTCTATCCRGTTTAATAGATGTTTGAGGTTATTAGTTCTTTAGTCAAGTGTGTGTTTCTGAATGTTTTTCACTGACTCTGTTCAGAGCTATCCCTTCCTCCTCTTGGTTTTTAAGTTTCAACCTTAACTACTCTCCAGTTATTCTAGGATCTCAAAGATGGTAAGGAGGACTATTGGTACATCAGTCTATGAACACCTTGTGTGTGCAGTACTGGCCATGTATCACTTGGGGTCATTCTGGGCTTCTAAAGTCGCACCTCTCTCACACATTTTTTTTTTTTTTTGTGATTTTGCTCTCACAAAAAGGCACTGAGACTATTCAGAATGAGTAAAAGGGCTCAGAACTGAAGGTCAAAGTGACAAAGCACAAAGATGACCTAATTGTGGAGGTGTGTATGGACTGTTTCAGACTAGAGGGAAAAAAATGGAAATAAAGGAGGTCAAAGAGTCTGAGAAGATGCTTCTGGATTAGTATTTTTTGCCAGGTCATGAGCTGTGAAGGGAGATATGGAGACTAATTCAGTTCCAGATTGTAGGTATCTAAATTTAGCTATTAAATGTAGGTAACTACCTGTGAACTACATATCTAAATTTCCGTTTTAAGCAATGGATATCAAATTCTTAGACTTAATGCAGCCTGGATAGCTACTGAGAGCATCCTAAATGAGGCATCTGCCATGCCGAAGGCCCGCTCCTGATGCTCCTTCTTTAACTTCAGTAAATCCCTTTGCCATGTACCCATATGGATACCTAAGGTGTCRGAGGATGCTTTGGACTCCCTGAAGCCAGGCTAGACATGCATATCCCTCTGGTACCTGTGCTGGCAGAGAAAACAATGCAGCTGTGTGTTCACACAGAAACACACCAGACGGCTGGGACAGCCTAGTGTAATGCATCCGTCCGTGCAAGCCTCCTTGAAGGTCCTGGAAGGGCTTGAGCATAGAGGGCACAGGGAGCTGCTCACATGCTTGCTTGTCTCACATGGGTGATGCAAGAAGGGCATAAACACGATGCCATCATCAGCTGCTCCTGGAAAGCTCGAGAACTTGATTTGTTCAGAGCCTCTGTGCTGGGCTTACTAGTAGGAGCACAGTCTTGCTAGCAAGACTCTGTGCCTTTGGACTGGAGCTGTTGGGCTGAGGACTGTCTGGTAAGATTGTCTAGATGTGTTTGCAATAAACATTAATAATGAAAAAGGACTTGTGTGACAACGTTAGTCCTTTGTAGGTATGGAGTTTACATGGAACAGACAGCCACAGTGTAGGATAGAAACAAGTTCTGTAGCTGCAACACCAGCACCTATAGCTCAATTGTTYACAGCAGTAAGGGCACTCRCCTCAAGTGTTTCTATCTTATACTRCCTTCTACACAGCCTAAGAGGTAATAAGTAAATAAATAAATAAATAAACAAATAAGCCCAAACAATTACAAAATGACATTGTGAGAGTTTCTTTTAATGTCACTCTTTTCAGACTTCACTGACAAGGTTACAAATCTTGGTTATTGCATAGGGTTCAATTACCAAGGCATTTTCACAGTAGAACATAAGTTGAGCAGAAAACATTTCTGAAAACACAGTATGTTCACACAGTTCAACATAATATGTGTGAACACATGAAGTTTTGCAGTGGATATTAAGAAAAGATATGATCAGCTAGCATAGGAAGATATGTATGTAGATGATTGACTTACCCTTCATGAGAAAATTCTTGATCCTCTGCTGGTCATTCCACATTCCCATCACAAGAAACTCCTGGTTTGCCTTAAAAGCATCATCAGCTTTGTCTATGACACTGTTTCTGCATATTCATGTCCTCTGTAGTTGTTGTCAGGCTTCTGTTTGCAACCAAAGGCTGTTATTTCCATCTGCTCYGGGCAAAAAATCGGCCTCTGAAAGATGCTCTTTCTCCTTTGGCATTATGCCACAGAAGTGCTTCTCCATAAAAGTGATAGCAGATAGTCCTGGATTTTAGGGACCACAGGATTACTTTCAGTACTTAACAGCATACTTTGAATTACTTTTTCTTAGGACTCTCCCATAGAGAGATTCCTCAGGCAGGCAAAAGAGTTGATATACAATGCTAATGCAAACATAAAGCAATGTACTGAGTTACAGTCCAATGAATCTTCTCCTCTCTTTTTCTTAATCCCCTTTCTCTTTTGAGCCATCGAGTTCAAAAGAAAAGATTCTTGTCCCTTACCCCRTATGTGTCACTCTGCTCTACTGCTCACCTCAAAAAATATTTCCTCGCTCCCTTGTCCTCTGTAATMATTTCTGGCTCTCAATCAGATTCAAACTTGTCTTG